ATTCTGCCTTGGAATCCCACGGGGAAACAAGCATGGGTACTGGGGACCTATTCTTCCTTGGAATCCCACAGGGAGACAAGAATGGGGTACTGGGGATCTATTCTGCCTTGGAATCCCACAGGGAAACAAGCATGGGTACTGGGGACCTATTCTTCCTTGGAATCCCACAGGGAGACAAGAATGGGGTACTGGGGATCTATTCTGCCTTGGAATCCCACAGGGAAACAAGCATGGGGTACTGGGGACCTATTCTTCCTTGGAATCCCACAGGGAGACAAGAATGAGGTACTGGGGACCTATTCTTCCTTGGAATCCCACAGGGAGACAAGAATGGGGTACTGGGGACCTATTCTGCCTTGGAATCCCACAGGGAGACAAGAATGGGGTACTGGGGACCTATTCTGCCTTGGAATCCCACGGGGAAACAAGCATGGGTACTGGGGACCTATTCTTCCTTGGAATCCCACAGGGAGACAAGAATGGGGTACTGGGGATCTATTCTGCCTTGGAATCCCACAGGGAAACAAGCATGGGTACTGGGGACCTATTCTTCCTTGGAATCCCACAGGGAGACAAGAATGGGGTACTGGGGATCTATTCTGCCTTGGAATCCCACAGGGAAACAAGCATGGGGTACTGGGGACCTATTCTTCCTTGGAATCCCACAGGGAGACAAGAATGGGGTACTGGGGATCTATTCTGCCTTGGAATCCCACAGGGAAACAAGCATGGGTACTGGGGACCTATTCTTCCCTCGAATCCAAAAGGGAGACAAGAATGGGGTACTGGGGATCTATTCTGCCTTGGAATCCCACAGAGACAAGAATGAGGTACTGAGGACCTATTCTGCCTTGGAATCCCACAGTGACAAAAATGGGGTACTGGGGATCTATTCTGCCTTGGAATCCCACAGAGACAAGAATGGGGTACTGGGGACCTATTCTTCCCTGGAATCCCACAGGGAGACAAAAATGGGGTACTGGGGATCTATTCTGCTTTGGAATCCCACAGTGACAAGAATGAGGTACTAGGGATCTATTCTGCCTTGGAATCTCACAGAGACAAGAAAGAGGTACTGAGGACCTATTCTGCCTTGGAATCCCACAGTGACAAGAATGAGGTACTGGGGACCTATTCTGCCTTGGAATCCCACAGAGACAAGAATGGGATACTGGGGATCTATTCTGCCTTGGAATCCCACAGAGACAAGAATGAGGTACTGGGGACCTATTCTGCCTTGGAATCCCACAGAGACAAGAATGAGGTACTGGGTCCCATTCTTCCCTGGAATCCAAAAGGGAGACAAAAATGGGGTACTGGGGACCTATTCTTCCCTGGAATCCAAAAGGGAGACAAGAATGGGGTACTGGGGACCTATTCTGCCTTGGAATCCCACAGAGACAAGAATGGGATACTGGGGATCTATTCTGCCTTGGAATTCCACAGAGACAAGAATGAGGTACAGGGGACCTATTCTGCCTTGGAATCTCACAGAGACAAGAATGAGGTACTGGGGATCTATTCTGCCTTGGAATCTCACAGTGACAAGAATGAGGTACTGGGGACTGCAATGTATTCCCACCATTGCGATGTATTCATGTCATTGGACACATGAACTCTGGATCATGCTGAGCAGCACTCAATGACATCCTCAAACAAAAAAACAAAACTTCCTCCATTAAGATGAGCAACATATATTACATGGATGCCTACTACAACTTGGAAATAGAACAGTAGTATCGGTACTCCATGTGATCAAATTAAACATCTGTGAAATCTGTGAACTGTGAAAAAACGGGGGGGGGGGGAATAAAACATATTACAGATGGGAAAGATACCACATAACAACAACCCTAACACATGTACAGAACCCATCAACAACACACTCCACACACATCACAGGCGATATAGTACTTATATTCCCTGCCTAGATACATAGCAACACAACATAGTTAAACAGGTGTCAGGAAAACAGTTTTGCCATGTTTACTGAGTATCAGTTAAAACTACATTCTCCAACATTTGATAAAAAAATGTTAAAAAGACTAGAATACTTGAATATGTCATTCCTGGAACAGAAATATCAGTAATGGTAAACATACAATATTACCAATTAACTCAATATTGACTAGGACTGGATCAGTATCCCTATACACCTGGTAAAAAGATAAGCACCAGACATATTTCCATACATTTTTACAAATCGCATCCTTTATGAATTTTCTCACAATTCACATTTGTTTTTGGACACATTGAAATACAGAAGCCAAAATCGAATATACAATAACATGCGATCCAAGACCACTCACAGTTTTTTAATGTAATTAACGCTTGCATCAGTTTCAAGATTTACAGTACATCAAGGCGTGTCAGCTTAATGTGGGAGGAAAGCGTAAAGTGATGCAGGTCTCAGACGTTTACAACATTGGTGAAACCCACGAGCAGGGGTATGGGTGTCCCTCTAGAAAAGGAAAGTTAGGCCACATGCAAATGTTTCCAAAACTTTAACGGAAGGCAAGGAAATATGAAACGGAGCATGGATACAGTTCTCAGCTTGTTTCCAGATTAACATACTACTCAAAAGAAGTTAAAGAACACTCACAATTGGAAGACTGTGCCTACACTCCATGACAGATTAACAATAATGTTCTTTAACTTGTCTTGGGTAGTATATACATGCTCACGTCAATAACAGCATACGTCATGCTGAACAATCACAGGTGATGAGAAGACAAAATCGTAAAGAGATATCTCTGGCCAGTAATCATCCACGTTATAAAGTCTTGTAAAGATACACTGACTAGATCAAGAAAACAGGAATGTGAAAATTATAATAATCAATGCCCTTTTGCTCCAAGAAGATTCTAGATACAGCTGATTATCATGACACAATTGTGGAACAGCAGAAAAAATTGAAGAAATGGGTACTTGATGCAGAATTGACCAAATTTCAGAAAACAAGCAGAATTTGTTGGACCTCAGCAAGCTATTTCTGCAGAAATCAAATCTTATTTAATCCACTAATATGTAACAGATAAACTAACTGAGCTTAGAAAAGAGTTACTCTCCTTACTTGTGTTCTTAACACTATGCATGAAGAGCTGTTTCAAAACACAGGAAGTTGCCACTTACAGTGTGAAAAAGTGAAAAATGTGTTTTAAAAAGATCAAGCTGGTCAGGCTGCCTCACAACCAATAGTTACATAATTTAATATTACTTCAACGTAAAAAAACACATATTCACTTGTCAAAATAGAAATTAAATCTAACCAACTTGCCTTCAATTTCACACAACACAAATGTTACATTGTTTTTGTACAGTGTCACACCATCACTGCCGTTAATTCACAGCATTAAGAAATCCTGGTATAAGTAAATCAGGGTTATTAATCACAATAAGATCTACATAACTGAAATTACTAATGGAACAATATAACAAGGAAATATCAGATCAGGGCCCCTTTCCACAAAGCGAAGGTTGGCTAAGATGATCGTAACTCCCATTCTTTAGCATAGGCTTACGACAGTCGTAGCCCTATGATCGCTTTGTGGAACGGGGCCCTGGTCTCATCCTGAATAAAGATAATAACAACCATAACACATCATGTCCTGAGTTACTTAGTTTCAAGGTAAGTGATTGCATCATAGTGATTGTAGCTTCAGTTATTTAGAAGGAAACTGGCCGGGGTGAATGTGATGTTTTATCATGATGCAGAACGTATGCATTCAAAACAATTCAGTAATAACATCATTGAATTCATTCACTGACTAAACATGACTTAGAAAACAGTCTTCTGTTACTGGAGCAACTTCACAATGTTTATCAATTTTATTATCAGGTCCCACTTGCACAAAACGATGTTAGCGCTAAGATGATCGTAACTCCCATACTTTAACATAGGCTTACGATTCCATTCCTCTCTCCATCGCCATCTGACAAACCCTCATAAAGGAGGTGTCAGATGAACCCTGAGCCAACTTTCTTTGCCAAATAAAAATGAAGGATGCAGTTTTTTTTAGCCAAATTACTTTTTCTTGTTTTTTGTTGTTAAACTCCAGTCAGCAATATTCCAGATATGTCAATTATGCACAAGCATCTAAACCTAACCCTCCAATCTGTTTTGTCAGCACCTTAAAAACGGGTTATTTGACTCTCTGCTACAGTTGCAGTTTCAGCTTTCAGCGTCCTTTTTTCCTAATTTTCAGTCTGATCATAAGAAACAAACCCAAAACATGTGTTGTCTCAATAGTACAACCTTTTATGTGTAGATACCATGGCATACAGAAAAGTATAAACATTGTGGGACCTTATTATTTTCCATTTAGAACTGACCAGATACTCTCATTTTGAGATCCAAAAACCAAATATGCTACTCTGAAAGCTTTCCTCACTCGTACCGAGTGAATGAGTGAGTGAGTATACTTTTACACTCGTTTCAATAGTCTTTTTAATATCACAGCATGGAACACCAGAAATGGACTGAAAGCATTGCACACTTGGAGAAACACATTGTACACTGGGAGAAACACATTGTACACATGGGGAAACACATAGTACACGTGAGGAATGGAACCCTGGTGATCGGTGCGACGAGCCAACGACTCGTACAGAGCTCCAGATAAGCTGCGTATCTGCGTGAAATACGTATCAGAAATGCAGAAATACACAGTAAAATATAATCCAAGCGTATCAAATACGCAACGAACATTACAGATACGCTACAAAAATAAAACTTGTGCGTATTATCAAAATATTGTGAAGTAACCTCTGTATTCGATTAGCAAATCAGCAACTTATTTTGAAATTATAAACGGGCATTCCGTCAACCTTGCCAAACTCCACGATGACAGTTACATCATGATCATTTGCCATCACACTTTCTTGTGGAAGTATCGTGGTATTTTTGAGTCCTATAAAGCTCTCGAACCCACACGACACCAGTTTGCAGGGACTAGATGAATAGTGTTTTTAAATATTTAACTTAAATACCCACATGTGTAAAAACTAGTGGGTAACAGAAATTTGAATACGCAGATAGAATTACTGATACCCAATGATTTTAAAATGGATGGGTAAAATACCCACAACACCAAAAGCTTATCTGGAGCTCTGCTCGTACTAAGAATTATGAAGCCTCAAGAGCTCACCTGATGTCCCATCCTACGACGGGTTTATCAGATCTTGATGGAGAGAGGTGACACGTTGGAGGAAAAGATCTGATTTTAATGAGATTACATCATCTCAACAGCAGCATCCGCTGATTTCGAAAACTAATTTCAAACACAGAGAATTAGGCAATGAGGAAACATCTGATCTGTCTATGACATCTTTCACACATAGAAAGTCAATACATACCACTTAGACTACAAATCAACAGGGCACCTGCACATAAACAACAATTTGTACTTCATAATACGCCTCATAAGATACTGTTTTTTCATGCATTTTATGAAATCAAGACACTGGACAAAAGTTGCATACATTTGCAAAGTGTCATTCACATTATACATTACAATATTCTGCAGATTTTGCATAGGTTAAGATATGATAAAATGTACAAGATAAATAAATGTGGGATGTTAAAAGACAGTAAATGGTTTTAAAGCTATGCTTAATGGCCATTCAGAGTTTTAAACTTCATGTGATGCTACTCCAATGAAGAATCTTGTGAGAACAAAGAATATTAGTAAATGTAATCATAAACAAAGACAAGTGAAAACATGGAAGTATAGTCAAATAGATCCTCACTAAAACCCTCTCTCTAATCTGTTCTGGTTGCTGTCGGACAGAATAATGTCTCCGTTTGTTCCAATCTTTCCATTGGTTGACAAATATTTTTCTCTGCTATCATTGGTTAGATTGTTGCCATTAGCTACATGATCAGACTTGTGATTGGTAACATCATCCTCCGATATTTCTTCATCGCTTGAACTTCTGTCATCCTTTGCAATCTGAAAACACAAAACAGAACAAAATCAGCATGTGATTAATTCAAGGGAGATAACTGTGGGCAATAGACATATTATCTCCCTTTTTTCTTAACTGTGAACTGTGAATGTACTTTAAATGATAAAAACAATAATATAAATGAAAAACACATTATTACATTTTTCACAGTCATTTTCAATATCATTCTAAGAATTTTTGATAAATTTTTTTAATTAAACATCAAATTATTACTCAGAAATCTCAATGATAAAGCTCATTTTATTGAAACGATATAACAAGAATATTTGCATACTGAAATACAAACTCAGGATGATTTTCTGCTGTACACCTACATATCAAATCGTGTTGCAAACAAGAACTTACGCTCATTGCAAACACGTCATCAATGCACTGAGCTACTACATTGTAAAGGTGAGGTGAAATTGGGCTTATGTCGAGTCCAAGATTATTGCACTAATATAGCGACGTGCATACACGTGTGTGTGTGTGGCTGCTTGTACTAGTCCGGACTGATGCCGATTTATAGTGCTAGCCCACTGAGATATCATGCCGCAGTTTAACATGAATACCCCACTCAGACACAGTATACTGACTCCGAGCCAACCAGTCCCTGTTTTAACCCCTTAATGCCGAGCGCCAGACAGGGTAACAACAAGTACCACCTTTTAACGTCTTTTGGTATGACACAGCTGGGGATTGAACCCCGGACCTTCCGCTCTCTTGGCAGACACTCTGCCACTAGACCACGGAGGTGGTCCTACATTGTAAAGAGGCGGTGGTATTATATCAACAAAAGCACAGTTTCATTGCTGAAGCCTGTTGTGAGATGCTGGCCTATATAGAAATATGATTTTATTGTAGCCTGTAGTAAGCAGTCATGGCTGTTCAAGCCTCAAAGTTGCGACTAAAATGGTCGCCAATGCGACCTAAATTTCAATTTGTCTACTGTCTAAAATTCAGAGGTAGCCAAATAACTACCTTGAAAAATATCTTGTGGTGACTAAATTCTATTGCTACACATATGTGAAGACAAGAATATACAATTGTACTCGCAAATAATTCCTCCAAAAGTCAACAATGAACCGAAATACATAAATATTAATGTAATTAGTATTTTATTTTCGTTGATAGTTTATTGGATAAGCAAAGATATACCTATATAATCTAGTAACATAAGTTGCATCATTATTCGAGTCACAAATAACGAAACTCAAATACAGTTTCCACAAATATACAATAATAGTTATTTGATAAAAGATAATTTCAAATGCTTTTGGCTACCAACACTATTGGCTTGACTTCTTAATTTTACCACTTGCTACCTGGAAAAAAAATACTTTTAGCCATATAGCTACTTGGTAAAAATTTAAACTTTGAGGCCTGCTGTTGGATGTGTATCAAATAGCACACACAAGAAAGAAGTGATGTGTTCCCGTCTCATGCATGCATGCATAGTTGCATTAAGCCTGATTTCCCTCAAAACTAATCAGGAGATAGTTTGGCAGCTAAGAGGACGTCTGTTTAAAATCTAAAATACTTTTAGTCTGATGACAGTCTAACTGGGAATTTATGGCTATGATGTGTGACGTCATATCTCTAGCATCACAATGAATGTTGTGACGCCATAATAGGGACGTGTGAAGTAGAGCTAATGTTTTCAAGGCTTGACCTTGACCTCTGAGTAATCTTGACCAAAACCTAATAAAGGTATATACTAAGTCTTTTCTATTTCGTGACCTTGAACTTAGTTGTTTGCATGACATGTACCAAACAAATTCCCCAGTTCCATTTGGAAGCAGTCTATGGTAGAATGACCTTTGTCAATAATCTTTGTGTGACAGTCATTAGATACATGACAGGCAGCGATGGTGGTGGTCAAATTAAACATCAAGCAGTCGTAGTTACAACTGAAGTGTAACCATGTTAGTCATCTATATGGTGAAATAGGCCAGAGCAACTAGACATGACACACAATCACACATGGTGACACACAATCACATGTGGTGACACACAATCACACATGGAGACAATCACAGATAGAGACATCCAATCACACATGGAGACACACAATCACACGTGGTGACAATCACAGATAGAGACATCCAATCACACATGGAGACACACAATCACACATGGTGACAATCACACATAGAGACATCCAATCACACATGGAGACACACAATCACACATGGAGACACACAATCACACATGGAGACACACAATCACACATGGAGACAATCACACATAGAGACATCCAATCACACATGGAGACACACAATCACACATGGAGACACACAATCACACATGGAGACACACAATCACACATGGAGACGCACAATCACACATGGAGACACACAATCACACATGGAGACACACACTCACACGTGGGGACACACAATCACATGGTTACACACAATCACACATGGTGACACACAATCACACATGGAGACACACAATCACACATGGTGACACACAATCACACATGCTGACACACAATCACACATGCTGACACACAATCACACATGCTGACACACAATCACACATGGTGTCGTCAACCCAGTCACAGAAGAGAGCTACATTCAAGGAGTTTCCATACCCAGTGTCCATCATGGCCGTCAACGGGGATGTTGCCTAGTAGGGTTTGTTAACACTAGTGAAATAATGCTTAATTAAAAGTTCATGAATTCAATGAAGCAAACTGATCTCAAAGAGGGTATCAAGCCAACCATAAAGAGCGGGTAAGTAACAGCAAACTACTGAATCCAAAACACACACGTGTTAGTAAGACAGTGTAACAAACCATATACCTCCCATGATGCACTATTCTCATACAGGTGATTATCATGCCAAATTTGTATGTGGAAGTGTAGCCTTAACTACCACCAAATACAATGACAAGTCTATGAAAGACATGACTCTCCGCTATCAGCTTGGGCTAAAAAAGGAAAATAAGTAATGGATGCATGAAAAGGTGGAATAAATATTCTTGCATTAGTAATTGTGCAAACAGACAATCCCACATTTGTCCAAGCACATTTCGAAACAACAGTCACTTAAACATATTTTCCCCAGACATAAGGACACGAAAGATATTTAAGATATAGTTGGATTTTTTAAAATTTGGCTTTAAGGATTCAAAGATATATTTTATTGACGTACCATGTGACACCTTAATACAAATTATTATTATTATTATCATTATTATTATTATAGTTTCTCTTAGAAGATGTAACTTACTGAGAATATCACTGATATTTATTTTTGGAGAGGAGCATTAGTTCTTTATAAGTAAGGCTGATAAATGGTATCAACATGGACAAATAATATTTGATGTAATACTTAGTGGCTCAACAAAATGAGCGACTGAAAACTAATGTATGTGACAACCCTGTTTGTTCTTCAGCCAAAGGGACATACCGTATTCGACGTAATAAGCGCCCCGCTCTAATAAGCGCCCACGGCGATATTTGCAATATATTTTGGCTAGTGAACAATCCCAATTAGCACCCTTCCGATCGATCAATGTACACACGACTTATTTATCCGTGTATAATACGCACTCGTGTGTTATATGCACCCTTAATTACGGAAATTAAATACATCTGTCGTGTATAATACGCACAGACTTTTCTTTTGTATCATTTCAGGCTGTAAGCATAAACCATGAAATTTATGATCTTTCAACTCTTTCACCAAAATTAAATTCTAATAAGAGCCCCCTATTTCTAATTTTTAGAGCGCCCTCGGCGCATATTACGTCGAATACGGTGCCTAGTTTCAGTTATAATAAACTGAATTAATATTTTCAGATGGAAGAACAATGACAAAGATCTTAACAAACACTGAATAAAAAAAGGAGAAGGACCTTGGATATTTATCGGGATATTTAATTAACAGTGAAGACTGAGCATGCAATTCCATGATAATATCCAACAAAATATTCATGATCCTGAATTTATTTATTTTTTCCGTATAGATCAAAGCCATATGTTGTAACATATGCTGCTAAGTATTGAATTGGATTTATGATGTGAGGTGGTGGATGGTAAAATCTATACAAAATATTGTTAATTTAGTAGATGATTGAATTTGGAACGAAAGTTTTATAGTTTTATAGGAATAAATGGCAATATGAAGGTCAGGCCATCACCATTACAAATACTGTAAATCTAGAAAGTTTTGGCATCAGAAAAGTACTGTAAAAACGGCGAGTGACACACACTCACAATAGTTTCATCACACAGTTATTTATTGAGGCCAACATTTTAAAAAAACATAGGAGGTGTATATTTTTAATCCCTTTCGACACTCCAGCCAGTGCATGATTGACTGATAATCGCTCACATCCTGAGTTGCCTTCAATACACATTGTCAGAGTCAACAGTTTAGTCAGGAAAGTTCACTAACCCACCATATCTCGTCAACTTGCTTACATGACACTGAGTTGACCAGACATATGCCAGCCAGTTAGACATACATCTAGTCTCTGAAATGATCATATCTTATAGAAAAAAACAGTTGTTGGATTATCTTAATACAAAATATAATAAAAAGGAGCCCAGACTCTCTACATTTCCTGAAACTGCAGTAATCTAGACTTGCCAAACTTTATAGACTTGCATGGGCTGTATTGGATATATTAGTATCAGGGTCTTATGACAGACAACTAGCCAGTCTATACTGTTAGATAAACTAGCTCCAATCTTCCTTGTCAACTACAACACATGCATCTATAGTTTAAACATTTTATCATGCCGTTTCCTTCTCGTAAAAAATAACATGCAAAAATAGCTTTTGCTAAACAGGGTGTCACATATAAGGCAATTGTTAGCCACTCGCAATAATTTCAAGACGCAAAGCTTTCCAGATTTCCAGCACCTACAGCATGCATACATCCTTGCTGCATGATGTATTTTGGGCTATACATCATGCAGCTGAAACACTCTACTATTGTTATTGACAGGGTAAAATATTATAGAAATCATGCCACTGTATTCATCTAAGTATACCAGTAACACCATTAGTTATAGGAATTAAGAATAAAAGTCTAGCGGTCCTTGTCATAACCTTGTGTTAAAACCCTTCAATTAGTGGTCTATTCAATACTTCTGTTGCAAAACTCACTGACACATTGCACATGTTTGACTTGTGGCAGGCATTTTCATGATAAACTTATCCGCGGGTGAGAGTAAACATACAGATATGCACGTTCGGAATGCAAAAATACAAAAGCCAACTTCATCTCAAAGGGAATTAATGTCCGCTTACACATTAAAAACCAGCTTTCATATTTGACGAATCCTGCACGAGATATGCTCCAAATATTATTTTCTGCACGATAAGAACATTTCTGCAGCAAGTGGGTATTTCTGCAAAATATTCTGCGGCCGTGGAATTGCGGAATACAATTACTGGTGAGTTATAGAAATGAATTGTATCCTCAAGTCGACCTCATATTTCAAATTAAGCACTGGACAAGGAGTGAATGTTGTTTTATGCCACAGACAGCAATATTCGCGCTTTTTCATGGGGGTGGGGTAGGAGGTAGGAGGTGTTGACATAATATTCATAACCTAGTTTCGTAATTAACAAGCCCTGATGACGTTGTCACAGTACCATTGCGGCATACAAGTCCTTGACAACAGCCTCTTAGACAAGGATAGATCACTACAGACCAATTCTAGCCCTGATCCCAGCGCGGGTTATGACAAGGACCCCTGGACTTTCGTTCTTGACTTGACGTATGTATGATTGTAACTCTCCTGCTCTGAAGGTATGAAGAGGGTACAGGACTTACTTTTCCTTTTTTCAGGGCGGAGTATGCCATCTTGCTGATAATGACGAACCAGAATATGTGCAGAATCTGCAGGACGATGAGCAGGCCATTGTATAAGAAGTATATTGCACAGAAGCCCACAATGGTCGTAGACTCGAACATTGCAGTGTAAATCAACCTGAAAACCAAGAGTGAGTGAGTGAGTTTTAAGCCAAGTCTCAGACTTCAGCCAAAAGTCCAAAGCCAAAATGATTTCTGTCTAGAGACCTCCATTCATAATGGTCCAAATGTTGAGATTAAATTCTTTGACAGACACATGTTTTAGACATGAATATTATGCATTTAGGACATTCTACGTTTCTTTTAGCAATATTCCAGAAATATACAGGAAATGGGTTTCACACATTGTGCCGATGTGGTAAATTGAATCCATCTGAGCATCTGAGCAGAAGGCCTAAGGGCTTTTCCTGAGTTTGAGGTTTACATTTTCAACCGAAAAATGTCTTAACTAACTTATGAACTGTCCAAATTCAAGAAAACCGGAAAGAATAAAAAAACATTGGAATACCGTTTTTGTGAAACAATACAGTAGATGTGGTATAAAGTAAATTCAATGACAGCAGGCACATAAAAGACCATGTGCAGCATGCAGACAACTGAAGTCATGACATGTGAGACTGAACACCTTTCATTACTTGCCCTGGTGGCTCAGAGGGGAAACAGTGGGTTATGATACTGTACATGATATGTGAGGTGGAAGGTTCAATTCATGTCGCAGAATTTCCATGTGAAATCTTAACCAGTCAAAAATCAACATTTAGTGCACATTAAAAGGCTGTTTACACAATTCAACAGTAAAACCTAGGTCATACAATTCAACAGTAAAACCTAGGTCATACAATTCAACTGTAAAACCTCAAAGCAGGTCTTACAATTCAAACGTCAAACCTCTCAAGTGGTTTTACTTGAAAGAAGTACCTCTCACAAGGTTACTTTGAGATAGGACGTAGGGCTTGGACGAGTCCAAATTTACTACCCGGGTACCCTACACCCTATTACCCAACCCTACCCGGGTACCTGCTTAAAGTCTCAAGTTTTAGTGGAGTCCTGTCAAAGGCTGCTCAGATACATGCATACAATGTTCTGATCATGCATACACTGTAGTTGACTGAAGCTTTATCTTTACTCAAAAATATAAAAGTCAGAAGGAATGTGTGCAAAGTCAGAAAGAAATGGGAACATGTAGCGACTTGTTGTGCAACTGTGGAATTTAACTGTTATCATCATTAAACAATGTGTCACATGATTACCCAGGTCCAGGTAGTCCTGTGGGTACCCTGGTTCTACTCAGGACCCACCCGACCCAAGTACCGGAGTACCAATACCAGCCCTAATGAAAGGGAGGTGAGGTGAAATTGGTTTTACCTCGCGTCACGTGCTTGCACCTGTGTGTGTGTGTGTGTGTGGCTGCTTGAACTAGTCCGGACTGATGCCGATTTATAGTGCTAGCTCACTGAGATATCATGCCGCAGTTTAACACTCAGACACAGTATACTGACTCTGAGCCGGCCAGTCCTTGTTTTAGCCCCCTAATGCCGAGCGCCAGACAGGGTAACAACAAGTACCATCTTTTAACGTCTTTTGGTATGATGCGGGCGGATGCTCTACCACTAGACCACGGAGGCGGTCGCCCTCATAGGAAGATACCTACAATACTATAGGCAAAGTGGCAGTCGGTGTGTAGCTGTTGTACTTACTTATATGGTAATAGAATCATTCTTGTGATGACCCAAACGAGTAGAAATATGACAAAAACTGCGTCTGTTGTTTTTTGCCATTTCAGGTACTTGGCCATCTTGGCTGCCTGAAACAAAGCCATGTTCACTTTAACAACACACCAAATTTAATAATAAAAACGCAGTAACAACAATAATAATAATGATAATGATGTTGATGATAATAATTTTCAATTACGTGTCATATGTATGGTACATCAATAAAATGTGTATTTGAATCTTTTAAGCCAAATTAAAAAAACAACAACTATATATTAAATATTCTTCATGTCGTCCAATAATAATAATAATAATAATAATTTTAAAAAATTAAAATAATAAATTATAACAACAACTACAAGCGCCTTTGAGCAATCATCACTTACTGGAGACAGGTGTTCAACAACAACAACAATAATAGTAATTTGTAGAGCGCCTGTCTCCAGCTAGTGATGATTGCTCAAAGGCGCTAAGGAAAGATCAACGCCTGACATGTGGTTCAGTGGTATGCCTGTCTGAAGCAGTGATTCTTCAGCTGGGACGCAAAGGAAGATAGGTTTTTACTACATCAGACATGATCTCGAACATTAATCCACAATACTGGTCCACCTTTGGTGAAGCTATGATCCCCAAAAGATGCTGTTACATGATTTTGGCACAGAAAACAAACACTGGCTACCTGATGCTAGAGATCGGGATGGAATAAGCTCTTTTAGAGCTGGCTGATATATTTGGGTACTTTCTGTTCAAATAACATAAACAAAATTTGCAAGTGTTTTCATACTAGTGACCTGTTGCAAAGGACTTTTAGGCATCATTTATCATGTCTTTTTCACTTTAACAGTGGCGATATGATGATAAAAGACTTCAATATGTCATTATTGCTAAAAAAGTGTTTGCGACAGGTTAAGTTATCTCCCCTTGTTTGTCCTGTTAGATTAATCTGGTGACATAGGATTTTAAGTTCTCTCTTATCATTAAGATACGCTATAGGATGGGGGGCCCAAGACACCAGGGTAGACAAATTGTATCCACGTGGGGATATCCTAATTGAATCCATTGCTTTGACAACAGGTATTTCCCTGACAGATTCCCATGTGTTGATGTAGTCTAACATGGCCTGTTAGTTTGTGTGGGGATGCTCTATGAAAGATGTGTCCTCACACAACGTATCATACACAGAGCTACAGATAAGCTGCGGATTTGCGTAAAATACCCCCCAAAACTATTCAAAACCCTATTCCATGACAATTCCAGATCCATAAAAAAACATATTGCCCTACCATAAAGTAAATTTTTGTATGTTGGCATTGTACCTTGTATGCGTTTATGACCAGGCATTTCAACTGCCCAGAGTGAGTGAGTGAGTGTGGTTTTACTCCGCTTCCAGCAATATTCGAGCAATACCATGACAGGGGACATCAGAAATGGGTTTCACACAATGTACCGAAGTAGGGAATCAAACCCAGGCCTTCGGCGTGAGGAGCAAACACTTTAACCACTTGGCTATCCCACCTCCCAGAGAAAATCATGATGTCAACCAACAAATGCAGTGATGTCATTGCTTATAGAGTGTTGTGATGCTCCTCAGTCATGCATTTACTCGACCTATCATAACATGGGAACTAATTCCCCACTTGCCTGATGGACCACGTTGTATCGGTGAGTGAGTGAGTTGGGTTAACGCCGCTTCTTAACAGTATTCCAGTTATATCACGGCATGTCAGCTTAATGTGGGAGGAAAGCCCAAAGTGGTGCAGGTCTCAGACGTTTACCACTTCAGTGAAACCAACGAGCACGGGTATAGGGCTGACAAACCTAGAAACATAATTGGGGAGAACCAGGATTCGAACCCACAACCACAGGTTTCTGGCGTGCCCAAGGGACGCAACTCTGCACAGCAAATTGCGGCGCCTTAGACGACTGGGCCACCCGTGCCCCCGTTGTATCAGTGAAGATTTGCATGTTGGTCTATGATTCCCAGCTATATTACCTTAATAAAGCCACAGACTGACTTATAGATGTGAAGGGGTGGTTGGTTGGTTGGTTGGTTGTTTAACGCCGCACTCAGCATTATTCCAGCTATACGACGGCGGTCTGTAGATAATCGAGTCTGGACCAGACAATCCAGTGATTAATATCATGAGCATCGATCCACGCAATTGGGATCGATGACATGCATCAACCAAGTCAGATGTGAAGGGACTCCCGATAAATGGCAGTTTGAGTTGTGCAGTAAACATAAAAACAACAAGCCATTCCTAGGAGCCGGGGCTGGATCAGCAATAGGGGTTGTCATTAATTTGGAAAGCCTTCCGTATCACGACATTGATTAATAACAATTGTTATTCTGTATGTGTATCGATTAAAATCTGGACCTGCACTTAATGAACTTAATGCTAAATATAAAACTAGACTTATAAAATTTGATTCTTGGCCTTCTCATCAGCCATCTTAATTATGGTAATCTTAAAAATGTAAATGTTTCCATGGAAGTGAAGTATTAATTTAATATTGATGTTCATGAATTTGTAATGAAACAGTGCCAACATAAAAAATTTATCGATACATCGATATCCCAATATACAATGACATCCCTTGTTCTACTCAGCCCTCTTCTTCATCAACAGGAATATTTGTTTGTTTGTTAGCTGTTTGACGCCAATTCAGCAATGTTCCAGCAATGACGACAGCCTGTAAATAATCAAATCTGGACAAGACAACCCAGTGCTTGACATCTTGACCATCGATATAAGCAAATAGGACATGACGTACATCAACCAGGCAGTGAGCCTGACCACCCGATCCTGTTGGTCACCGCTTATGACAAGCATGGGTTGCTGAAGAACAATTCTAACCCATATCCTCAAGTTGGTCCACAACAGGAACAAGTGATGCCTCACCTCCAACAAGGAGTCCACAGCATCATGCAAGACGAGGATGAGTGTCCCAAATCTCACAATATTCTGCGACCATGATAGGAACATGAGGCTAAGTGTTACCACGTGGTGGATAAACATCTCAGCGAAATCCTGGAAAAGAGACACAATATTCAGTTGATAAAATGTAAGTGTCATAACTCTCACAAATGTTTTGGCTGATTTTTTTGCAAGAAAATAGTGAGTGAAATATGGTTTTACGCCGCTTTTAGCAATATTCCAGCAATATCACGGCGGCGCAAGAAAATAATATTCCACAAAATATTGAGGTGAAGCTGAAAGACATGGTCCTGACTCATGCATCACAGTGCTTAAATTTCTGATACTGTATTCGACGTAATAAGCGCTTGGGGCGCTCTCAATATTGGAAATAGTGGGCTCTTATTAGAATATAACTTTGGTGAGAACAAAAGCAGAGTTGAAAAAATTGTAAATTTCGTAGTTTATGCTGACCATGCTGACAGCCTGAAATGATACAACAGAAAGTATGTGCGTATCATACACGATAGATATATTTTCCAGAATTTAATTGCCCACAATTAAGGGTGCATATAACACACGAGTGCGTATTATACACAAATCAATAAGTCTTGTGCACATTGATCAGTCAGAAGGGGTGCTAATTGGGATTTTTCACTCGCAAATATAGCCATGGGCGTTATTAGAGGGGGGCGCTTATTACGTCGAATACGGTATTACAAAAGAGTTGTAAAAGATGAAACCTGTAATGACCACATGGCAACCAATCATTGTCCAGATATATGAAAGAGATGAACAACATCATGTGCTAACCATGATACAACCAGTGATATTACTCGTATTCCATACCTTTCTTTTGACATCTTTACACTGTGTAATTAAAAGTGAGAGGTAGAAGGATGCTTCCACTGCATAGTACCAATAGATTTCTGGGGAGATATGCTGCAATGTGAAATGAAGATCATTTAGACATAGCAAATGTGAGGAGAGGTGAAATTTGGTTTAACGTTGCGTTCAAGGTTATTGCACTTATATAGCGACGTGCAAGCACGTGTGTGTGTGTGTGTGTGTGTGTGTGTGTGTGTGTGTGTGTGTGTGTGTGTGTGTGTGTGTGTGTGTGTGTGTTTGATTGTGTGTGTGTGTGTGTGTGTGTGTGTGTGTGTGTGTGTGTGTGTGTGTGTGTGTGTGTGTGTGTCTGCTTGTACTAGTCCGGACTGATGCCGATTTATTGTGCCATTTCACTGAGATACGATGCCGCAGTTTAACATGAATACCCCACTCAGACAAAGTATACTGACTCCGAGCCGACCAGTCTTTGTTTAAGCCCTTAATACCGAGCGCCAGACAGATTAACGACCAACAAGTACCATCTTTTAACGTCTTTTGGTATGACGCGGCCGGGGATTGACCTTCCACTCTCCGGGCGGACGCTTTACCACTAGACCACGGAGGCGGTCCACAGAGCAAATGTTCCACCTATATGACAATGATCACATCGGCTTGTAAATAAACAAGGGCACCAGGCAGGGTAACAAGTACCATCTTTTAACATCTTTTGGTATGACACGGCCAGAGGACTGAACCACAGACCTTCGGCTCTCTAGGCAGATGCTCTATCCACTAGACCTGGGGGCAGTCCTCATTCTAGTCACCACTCATGCCAAGCTTGTACACTGAGGACATGTACTGCCCACGAATACAATCAGGTTCATTTTTGTTGCTGCTTGTTTGCTGTTCAACGACACACTCAGCATTATTCCAGCTAAATTAGTAAATGTATATTCCGGTCTGGACCCGACAAACCAGTGATGGATGTTATGAACAATGATCCACTTCTGGGGTACAATGACAAACAATCAACTAAGTCAACGAGTCAGACCACCCAATCCATTGAGTCACCTCGTATGACCAGCACAGGTTGGTAGGGGCCTTTCCTAATCAGGAATCCCACAGGGCACATGTATGGTACTGGATGAGTTTTTGAAATACCAAGTATAATATAATACATACAGAACACTAAACAAGCTCCCGTGTAATACCAATTTTATGAAACGAGTGAATAGTTCTGGTATCTGACGAGCGAAAGCAAGTCAGATACCACAACTATTCATGAGTTTCATAAAATTGGTTTTACAGGGGAGCGAGTTTAGTATTTTATTTATTACTTGCCATTTATAACGTTTTTAGAATTATACTGCTGAGCGTGAATAGGCTGACACCTACACGATCCACGGCATAATCCAATTGAGTTTAACAGAATAATACTTCAAACACGTCAAAAGTTGAAACGTATGAATTTAATACCATACAACGGTCGACCTTTAGAGTTCAGGCGTCCGTTCCACAAAGTTATCATAGAGCTAAGGTTATCGCAACTCACATACTTCAACATAGACTTACGACTGTCGTTGCGCTACAGTACGATCGCCTTGTGGAACGGGGCCCTGCACCACAAAGTTTACAATCACGTCACAATACCCGATGACGTAATTTGTGGAATATTGTTGCAAGATCCATCGGCGAAACAATGCCATGTGACGTCAGCCTAGCAACAAGGTTGCTGGGGTCATCGAGTGTGCATAAGCTCCTCTCAGTGATCTATCATCTCCACACGCAATGTCGTTGAATAAGCCAAGGGATGTTAAGAGCTTTCAATATTTGTTCGTGAAACTTGTTCCGAGAGTACATAAGCACACGTTTTGGTATTACACAATGTGTAATACAGCTGTATGTTTATTAAACGGATGATCTCTTCACGGTCAAATGATAAAGGTACTTACATGGCGTGGATATCCTATCCAACACTCCATGGTGTCCCATAACCAGCTTTTCTGGAAAACAAAACAAAACACAAGGATACAGCTACTGTGTCTCCATCTCACTGCAATATGTAGGGCTGGCTATAGATATCAATTTCAGATATCAATTCGTTAACTAAATATCAATCAATTATCGATAAGATTCAGAGAAGTACCTTCAAATCCCACCTTGACCACCCCTAAACCCCGCCGTCCGAGGAACGAAAAGTGAGTGAGTGAGTGAGTATGGTTTTACTCCGCTTTTAGCAATATTCCAGCAATATCACTGCGGAGGACACCAGAAATGGGCTTCACACATTGTACCCATGTCGGGAATCGAACCTGGGTCTTCGGCGTGACGAGCCAACGCTTTAACCACTAGGCTACCCGACCGCCCCTACAGAAAAGTAAATTGCAGTGGCTCAACTGAATGATTTGTGTTCACCGTTGACAATTTTCCTTAATGCACAGTACATACCAAACAACATCTCTTTATTGTCAATATGATCAGCTGTGTATGTGATAAAACACTTTATCAAACCTCCATGTCAGAATGATGAGATCTGATTGGTCCATGTGATCTTGATAAAATACTGTGTTTCCTGCCTTGGAGAGTAATAAACTTCTCAGTAGGGGAATAAATCTCTTATACCCCACCATGAGCAATACAGGCTGCACGTGGATTTCTCAGAGGCAGAATAAATCCCTCACACCCCGCCTCAAAGCAAAAAGCCGTACACTTTTTCCGAGCCAATGGATCAAGTGGACCAATCAGATCTCATCATTCTGACATGGTGGTATGATAAGTGCTTTTATGCGTCCCTCGTGGAATAAAACCTAACACAGGATGCATAAAACCCCATGTATCCCTCATGATCCTGCTACAACTTATAGTATCACTGGGTGTTATTCCCACAATTGTACACATGCATATATACGATATACTTACATCCCACAGCACTATCAATCCATACCAAAATATGACCAGATAGAACAAAAACCTCCAACTGAAACAAAGGAAACACTACGCTATAATGGCCATTACACTAATAAATTTATCAGCCAACTGAAGGAGGCATTCTGGGATTCTTATTAAACAGTCTGCGACTTAAACCACTTGTCCGAAGCCCGAATCCAGTAAAATTCTGTTCAGTCAAGCAAGCTCAGCTAATATAACACTGATAACTTCTGAAACGCTGGTCACAGCCATGTTGGGGCTAGTACCGGTACTCTCAAAAGCTTTTGGCGCAGACTGTAAAAATGTACGAAATGTCCATGATATTTACTTTACATACCATTTCAAAGAAGAGTATCATCCTTGTAGTGAGCGAATGAGTATGGTTTTACGCCACTGTAAGAAATATTCCAGCAATATCACGGCGGGGGAACCAGAAATGGGCTCCACACATTGCACCCATGTCGGGAATCGAATCCGGGTCTTTGGCGTGACGAGTTAATGCTTTAACCACTAGGCTACCCGAATGCCCCAATCATCCTTGTAGACAGGTACAGGTATAAAAACATGCATTGAATATCCTTCTTGATTACGTAGGGTATTATAGTGATTGACATCACGAGCATCGATCCACGCAATTGGGATATGATGCATCAACCAAGTCAGCGAGCCTGACCACCCGGTCCTGTTAGTCGCCTCTTAGGACAAGCATAGTCGCCTTTAACGGTAAGCAGGGATTGCTGAAGACCTATTCCACCCCGGATCTTCACGGGTCTGATAATATATACCCTGGATGGTTTGCCTCAATTGGTGCATTGGGAAGTTCCATCACCATCTCTCATCACGGACTTTCTTTTGCTCATGAGCTTCAAGGTTCATTTGTTCATTGTCTTATGCTGTATGCAGCAATATTCCAACCATAACACATCAGCCTGTTAATAATCAAGTCTGGACCAGACAATCCAGTGCTGATATTTTGAGGAGTGATTGACTATGGATAATCCAATAATTCACGCAAATTAAACAGTTTAAACCTCATGCTACACGTTCAGTTTCAAAATAAATATGTGCAGTTAAATCCAGAAGTAGTGAGTGAGTGAGTGAGTTGGGTTTAACACCACTTTTAACAGTATTCCAGTTATATCACGGCGTGTCAGCTTAAAGTGGGAGGAAAGCCCAAAGTGATGCAGAACTCAGATGTTTACCACTTTGGTGAAACCAACGAGCACAGGTATGGTCCTGACAAACCGCGAAACATAATCGAGGCGAACCAGGTTTCGACCCACAATCATAGGTTTGTTGCGTGACCAAGAGACGAATCGCGGCGCCTTAGACGACTGGGCCACCTGTGACCCCTAGATCCAGAAGAAACTATTACAGCTTCTGATAATTGCTATATATTGTCCAATACGAAACTTATTAATATCATCTTGCTTAATACGATATTCCTGGGATTAATCATAAAAATTAAACACAGGTCTTAACAAGAGTGTAGACTACAAAAGAACAAAACTTCAAAATCTAAAAATACAAAGTTCCTAATCAGCTAAAGTTATAATGTGAAGTGAGCTAAAATGGATTTGATCAACTAAATTTGTTTCAATGTATGCCTACACCTTGATCATATTTGGCTGATGTTAAGTAAACCTACCATAGAACAGATGACATTTACCTAAAGTCTTTCAAGCAAGTTTCCAGCAATGGGATCAAGTTAGCTCATGAACAGGTTTGGTTTGTTGTTTAATGCCGCACTCAGCAATATTCCAGACGGCGGTCTGTAAATAATCGAGTCTGGACCAGACAATCCAATGATTAATATCATGAGCATCGATCCAGGCAATTGGGATACGATGACATGCATCTACCAAGTCAGCGAGCCTGACCACCCGATCCCGTTAGTCGCCTTTTACGACAAGCATAGTCGCCTTTTACGGCAAGCATGGGTTCATGAACAGGACAAGTTCATCAGGATTCGATATCATGGACAAGTGTCTCACCTTTCACACTGAATGTAATATGAGGAATATTTACCTTGATTCTGTAAATCTATAGAGAACAATGGTTCGGCTCTGCATTCGTCTTATCCTGAACCATCTTTCAACCTGCCTCACGCTCAGGTCTGTTTGTTTTGATATGCTCTGAAGAAAAGAAATATCGATTTTATATTTTCACCCCATGCAAGTAACAGTATCAAGTATTTCATTTTAATATGTTTTATATTTGACACCAAGAGACACATGAAAGAACAATATTGTCGGATGGTTATAACAGCTGGGAGCAGTCTGAGTGAACAAAATTGTTAATAGTTGTCAAGCGACTGTAAATGTTTACTATGTACAACACTGTTGAAAGTTGTCTGACAACAGTACATATTCATGATATAGTCGGAATTGCATAGACTGCTTTTAGCAGAGCTTTCTTGTGAATATAGAGAGGGTTTTGTCACTTTTGTACAGATAAACAACACTGTTGACAGTTGCAAGGGGACAGTAATTGTTTTAGATGTACAACACTATGGATAGTTGTCAGGGAACAGTGCATGTATTAGATGTACAACACTGTAGATAGTTGTCAGGGAACAGTAATGTTTTAGATGTACAACACTGTAGATAGTTGTCAGGGAACAGTACATGTATTAGATGTACAACACTGTTGATAGTTGTCAGGGAACAGTACATGTTTTAGATGTACAACACTGTAGATAGTTGTCAGGGAACAGTACATGTTTAGATGTACAACACTGTAAGATAGTTGTCAGGGAACAGTACATGTTTAGATGTACAACACTGTTGATAGTTGTCAGGGAACAGTACATGTTTTAGATGTACAACATTGTTGATAGTTGTCAGGGAACAGTAATGTTTTAGATGTACAACACTGTAGATAGTTGTCAGGGAACAGTACATGTTTAGATGTACAACATTGTTGATGTTGATAGTTGTCAGGGATGTACAACACCGTTGATAGTTGTGAGGGAACAGTACATGTTTCAGATGTACAACAGTGAACACCATTGATAGTCGTCAGGGAACAGTAGCCTGCAACCTCGGGGTATTGCGGTACTTGTCATGTACGCTGAACGGAACAAAATGCACTCACTAACCATTATGATTATTCGTGTTCTCTATATCAGATTTCATTCATTTTATCAAACAATGCATATTTTACTGATAAAAGTTCATTATTTACATTAGTAGCTCCGAGTAAAAGCTGGGCCTCGCGCTCTGTTTGACAAGGGAGAGAACTCCATCGTATCGCGGTACAGAGAAAAGGGTATGGAGGTCCGAATTGGACAAAAAGAGGACATAATTCTACCAACCACTTGGTATGATCATGCCACACATCAGTGATTTGTCCAGACAAGTGCAAAGACAGCACAAGCAAAATTCTAAATGTGTTATCAGCAATAAGGATTCAATGCATTTTTACCGAAAAGTAAGAGAAAAATATTTTTACAAGTCAACAACAAAATATCAGAAATGATATTTTAAGATTGTTTAAAAAAAATTGGATGACAATAATTTGTCACAAAATGGAAAAATGTTAAAAGTCAACAATAAATAAATAAAAAGCACTCCCAGTATGCCCAAAGTATGTATTTATCTTTTGGTTACTAGTGAAGAACGTATTTCTAAGTTTGGCATTATGGCCCTTATGATCTCCCAATAGATTCTGGGCACGGAGCGGGGAAAAATGTGCGGACTACGTAACTTCCGTTACCTCATTAGTCGCCATGAATATGCAGATGATCTAGTTCATGTCGATAGAGAAAGTTTACTCTTTCTTTCAACTCTGTTTTTTTCACCAAAATAATATTCAAATAAGAGCCCCCTATTTCTAATTTTGAGAGCGCCCTGGGCGCTTATTACGTCAAATACGGTAAGTCACCTGCCTCGTGTGACACCACATGTACAAAATGTGCTTAAGTGTGGGCAGGACCTGTAGCCCTAGAAACTCTCAGAAGTCAAGCTGGTCGCCCATTCAAGGACTCTCTGCGACAGATGTGGCTTAACTTCACCTGATTCGGGACCTGTGTGCTGTGCACGAGACCACATGCTTTTCATTAACATACCCAAGTGTGTCTGCTAAACCCAAGTGATAAATATCTCACTCACTCACTCCAACCTGAATAATGTATATATACCACAGAGCTCCAGATAAGCTTTTGGTGTTGTGGGTCTTTTACCAATGCATTTTAAAATCATTGGGTATCAGTAATTCTATCTGGGTATTCAAATTTCTGTTACCCACTAGTTTTTACACATGTGGGTATTTAAGTTAAATATTTAAAAACTCTATTCATCTAGTCCCTGCAAACTGGTGTTGTGTGGGTTCGCAAGCTTTATCAGTACTAAAAAATACTACGATACTTCCACATGAAAGTGTGATGGCAAATGATCATGATGTAACTGTCATCGTGGAGTTTTGCAAGGTTGACGGAATGACCGTTTATAATTTCAGAACAACTTGCTGATTTGCTCATTGAATACGCAGGGTTACTTCACAATATTTTGATAATATGCATAAGTTTTATTTTTGTAGCGTATCTGTTCGTTGCATATTTGATCCGCTTTGATTTGATTTTACTGCGTATTTCTGATGCGTTCTTATGTATACCAGTCTCTTAGACCATCCTTTCAGATTACATAAAAGACAAAGCAGCATGTTCATCCATCACTGCAGTGATATGCTGAAGGCAAAAGGCAATTGGACATTTTCAGGATTTCATCAGCTGTACAAAAGACAGTCTTCTATGTCATTACCAAATTTGGGCAAATTCCTTCGGACATTGTAGATGACAATCACTCAATGTCCTTGAAAATGTCGATTCGAAACCATGTTTGCTTACATACATGTCTAGATTGCCCTAAGTATTCATACACCTCAAACATGTACTTACCAAAAACGAATTTTTATCTGGTGTTTTATTTTGTCCAAATATTTTCTCGAGATAAGGGTTCGGTACGACATGCTTGGCCCCGTCTGCCTTGAGACCATAATACCGACCTATGGGTCCTGCAATGTATCTGAAACAAGCAAACACAGCATACAAACTGACACAAGCTACAATAATTACCAAAACATGCCAGCTACCTGGCATCATTACTCACTGAGAAAAAAATGAACCATCAACCATTTTTTGGCTGTTATTTTCAGACACTGTTGATCGTAATGCATTGAACAAACACAGATCTACTTCCCACGCTCGGATGCTTTTGTGTGTAATTGATATCTGGCTTTAGAACATACTGATGACAAATTAGGAGAAAATGAACTACCGTATTCGACGTAATAAGCGCCCCGCTCTAATAAGCCCCCACGGCGATATTTGCTAATATATTGGCAAGTGAACAAACCCATTTAGCACCCCTTCCGATTGATCAATGTACACAAGACTTATTTATTCGTGTATAATACGCACTCGTGTGTTATATGCACCCTTAAACATGGGCAATTAAATTCTGGAAAAATATATCTGTCGTTCATAAACATTTCAGGCAGTCAGCAGAAACCACAAAATTTATCTTTCAACTATGTTTTTTTTCACCAAAATAATATTCTAATAAGAGCCCCCATTTCTAATTTTGAGAGCGCCCTGAGCGCTTATTACATCGAATACGGTAAGTATTTGTTACACATTACAATGTCAATTTAAATAAAGAAATGGTTCTGATGGCATTGGCGGTGTCCCCAGGCAGACAGGGTACTACATGTAGCTTGTTAATTTCTTGCTTCAAGACAAAGAGCCAAGAGGCTCTGTAGCTCACCATGCTTAGGAAGTCATAATTTGATGTCACTTAAACCATATTTGGTACAAATATCTATAGTGAGTAAAAGAAACATTGGTTCAAAAGATTCTGAAAAAAAGGATACACAAAGCTTAAGCCATGTGCCCAGTGGTTCTTAAGAACAAAAACATGACTCAATGTTGTCAGTAACAATATAGCAATATCTGAAAAAAATATTTAAAAAATAGTTCTCTTCTCAAAAACAATAGAAATAGTGGTCATATTCTCAGTAATTGAAATAGATTCACAATTTAGAAGAAAATGGTGGAAGATGATGAAAAATATTACCACTATTCATTAGGGCTGTTACGATTCACTCGCGTATTCGGTGAATCGAACCGTATCCATTCATGAATTGAATTCATTATTCGTGGCCACTAGAATCGAATATTTTTGAATATGCAAGCATCTGCATATTTACATACCCTGTACCAAAAAATATCATAAGAACATATAATATGCATAGATTTCTTCTAAGACAACACTCTCATAATATTTAGTTTGACAGTATTGTGCTCACTGCTCATTGTAGCATTTGAGCAGATACTAGTACCTGGATAAGTGCAGTATATAAATGTATAATATATTAATCATTAACCATGTCAAATAATTTATGTTGTCAATGTTTCACTGAATATAACAAATAATACAAATAATATTTCAGCTGATACATCAGACTTGTTATTGTATTCGTGAATTAATATTCGTATTCGTTACCCTATATTCGTGATATGAATCGTATTCGCCTCATAGTGTATTCGTTGCAGCCCTACTATTCATGCAAAATAATGATGCTGGTTATGTCCTGGAATCCTAACAAGCACAAATTAGGCAGTGTTATATCCCACATGGTAATCCAACAGATTTATAGTCCACTAACAACGATTGATGAGTTTAAACATGACCACGTAGTGTGGTGTGGTGTGTTGTGGTCACTGTGGTGTGGTTTGGTGTGGTGTGGTGTGGTGTGGTGTGGTGTGGTGTGGTGTGAGATCATACAATACAATATAGGTGAGTCAAGTTGATCTTAAATGCTTAACATGATTGCACGTACTTAGTGACATGTGTGTCTGCCTGTACTGGTCAGGAAAAATGCCAGTTTAAAAGTGCTAACCCAGTCACATTCCATGCCACAGTTTAACATGAATACCCAACTCAGACACAGTATACTGACTCCAAGCCGACCAGTCCTTGTTTGATCCCCTTCAAATTTCCAAAAGGGAGTCTAACTCAAGTCTAGAATGATTTGGCAAGTCTAGATTGCCTCAGCTCTACCTGAAATTAAGGAGTTGAGAACTTAGCGCTAAGATCACTTTGTGGAATGGGACCCTGGATTTCACACAGGGGGTACAGTCAGATCCGCATTTACCAATATTGCATAGGTGAAGCAGGAGGCGTCGAGTCAGAATACCATCACTGCATCTCCTGGATCAATTTGAGGCTGTCGACTATACTAATCTGTCTCCGAGATTGTAGAGAATAAATTAAAAAATGAATCAAACGCAAGTCAAGAATGATTTGGCAAGTCTAGATTATTCTTGGCCCCATTTCGATTTCATTTTCTATTTTTTAGGTATATATTTTTTAAAAAGATAACTTTATTTCTGGGAACATAATGTAAATCTAAGGCAATACAAGAGTAAGACTTTAGCCCTATCAGTACAATAAATACATTGATCCAGATAATGAATTACTGTATTCGACGTAATTAGCGCCCACGGCGATATTTGCGAATATATTGGCTAGGGAACAATCCCAATAAGCACCACTTCTGATTGATCAATGTACACAAGACTTATATATTCGTGTATAATACGTGTGTTATATGCATCCTTAATTTATGGGAAATTAAATTCTGAAAAAACATATCTGTCGTATATTAACATTTCAGGCTGTCTGCATAAACCACGAAATTTACGATCTTTCAATTGTTTTTCACCAAAATAATATTCTAATAAGAGCCCCTATTTCTAATTTTGAGAGCGCCCTGGGCGCTTATTATGTCGAGTTTGGTAACTAATATATTCCCAACTGTATTAATATAGTGAGGGAAACCAGTTGTCTCCAAGTAGTATCTGGCATGTTTGATGAACACTTTACACCTGATACAGCAGCAAGAGGATGTTTCATGATCTGCACATGGCTCGAACACGGTGGCCAACTCCCCACGCACTATCTGTGCAGGTCACCCACATATCCTTAATCACTCACATGGGAGAATACTTAAATAGGGATAATTCTAGGGTGGGGCCTTGTGCTTTTAGCCCCTAAATTTAAAAAAGGCCCACATTTTCAAATACAATGGGGCATTTTAACATTGTGCTGTGTGGGCAAGTGTGGGTGTACCTCTGGAATATTTGAAATTTTAACATAAGGGGCCCATGTCAGAACATTCCTTGAGTGAACCCTGCTCAAACATCACCTGGCACAAAAATTTGAAATTTAAGATTTTTCTACAAGTTACTTCCAGAGATTAGAAATTCATGAAAATATATTGAACAGTTTATGAGTTATGCCCTGGAAACAAACCCTACCCTCACAGAACCTAAGTCCATCTTGTTGCCATGGAAACGTAAAAAAATAAAATTTCTAAAATTTCTAAATAGCAAAAGGCACCAGTTCAGCATGTACTTGACGGACCTGCAAAGTTTCATGAAAAAAAACTGAACGGTTTCTGAGTTATGCTCCTGAAACGAAACGTGACGGACGTACGTACGGAGCCCGTTTCTATATCCTCTGCCAACTTTGTTGGGCGGGGGATAACAAGTAATTTTCCCAATGCTATTTCTTTTGCTGATTTGCTTTTGTATACATATCTAGATTGGTGTTTTTTTCATAAGATATATATATTCCACAGACTTGGTGCAGGACTAAGAATGAGCCGGCTATATCACACCCATCCAAAAACTATTTAGTGTGGGCCAAGCAAACCAATGGTGTACAGAAGGAGCAGTAATTCACACCATCGATGTACAGAGTCATACAACCCATTTAAGTCGTCTTTTACGACCAGACAGGATTTTAATGGTTGCATGTTCAGTCGAGTCAAGTCGAGTCGAGGTGATGTGAAATGGGGTACAACGTGCATGCATGCGTGTGTCTGTCTGTCTGCTTGTACTAGTCCACACTAATGGCAGTTATTAGTACTAGCCCAATGACAATACAGTGATTGATTTCATGAGCATCAATCGACACAATTGCGGATACAACGACATGCATCAATCCAGTCAGCTCAGACCCCACTCAGACACAGTAAACTGACTCTAAGCTGACCAGTCCTTGTTTTAACTCCTTTATGCCGAGCACCAGGCAGGGTAACAACAAGTATGATCTTTTAATGCTTATTGGTGTGACACGGCTGGGGATTAAACCACCGATCTTCCGCCCTCCAAGCAGATGCTCTATCCACTACACCATGGAGAGATCACAATATAGTAGGTGTTTCAAAGAATAATTATTGATAATCAACTTTAAATGTCAAATAAAGCATAGATCCTGGTTTTAAACTTTCCTTACTGAGAAACAAGTACTGTCCTACAGATATCAGCTTCTGAAATAACAAGGTCTACAAATTGTCTCGTAATGATCTTCTCAGTCATCGAAGAATTTCACTGAACTTAAAAATCAGTAGTGTGATTAAATATTGACACACTGTTCTCATTAGCATATCACAAAATCAATAAGAGAATCAGGTCACGAAGGGCAGTCATGAAAACAAAACATGGCTGCTTCCATGGTGATATAGGACACAGACCACAGACCAAATTTTTAAAACAAGAACTCATTCCGTGTAATTTGGAATGACAAGATAGCTTCAACCACTGCACTACGCCACTGCCCTACATCTAGCACAGAGAAACCATCACTGTTTCATGAAGGTGGAATCACAACCAGTCACAATTTGGGTCGCCCAAGTCAGGTTACCAGGGCTAGAAACAGTTTTCGTCCACTAGTCCTTATAATGATAACATATAGCAAAACCCTTAATAATGGCAAATTTCTTCTAGTCCTTATGATACCTTTACCATTGGGCAGTTTGGCAAGGACTATAGGACTAGTGCCAATTTCTAACGCTTGTTACTGTAAGAAATACAATTCAGTGAATTCACAAGTATAATTCTTTAGTTCAGTCTTTATTCTTTACCAATCAGAGCTAAAGATTAGCTGTGTATTTGTGTAAAGTACTCGCCAAAAATATTAAAAACTCAATGACTTTCAATTTACTTGCGTACAAAAAC